CCTCCCTACTCCCAACTCCTCCCTACTCATTTATCCAAGTTTCCACTTCTTATAAAAGCTTCCTTTTTGTGTTTTAGCTTACTAAAGAGTTCCCTGATAAAGCCAAGATGGTCTTCTGCCATACTTACTATCTTCCTGCACATTAGGATGGTTCATTCCTGTGCCCTCAGTAAGTTTTCTTTAAGATACAACCAGCTCCGTGGGACTCCTTTCCCCCTCAGACTGGCTTCCCAGGAGATCCTGCCCATCAGTTACCCAGGTGAGTCAAAGTCTGCTTTTCTGAAGTCCAGATTCCATACTCTGCTGCTCTCCTTCCTTCCTTTCCTCAGGATCCTGAATTCAAATTATCTCATGGTCATTGCTACTGAAGTTGCCATCCACTACTACATTCCCCACCAATTCTTCCCCGTTTGTGAGCAGCAGGTCAAGAAGAACATGGCCCCTAGTTGACCTGTCCAACACTTGCACCTGGAAGTTGTCCCCACCATTCTCCAGAAGCTTCGGGGTTTGCCTGCACACTGCTGTATTGCCCTCCCAGCAGATGTCAGGATGATTGAAGTCCCCCATGAGAACCAGGGCTTGTGATCAGGAAACTTTGGCAAGCTACCTGAAGAAAGCATCACCCACCCCATCCTCCTGGTTTGATGGTCTATAGCAGATCCCCATCACATCATCACCCTTGTTGCTCTCCCCTCTGACTCCAACCCAAAGACTTTCAACAGGCCTGCCTCCAGTTTTATACTGAAACTCTGAGCAATCATACAGATCTTTTACATGAAACACATCTCCTCTTCCTCTGCCCGTCCTTTCTGAATACCCATCCATGACAGCACTCCCATCATGCAAGCTATCCCACCAAATTTCTGTTATTTCAATCATGTCATAGTTCTGTGACTGTGCAAGGACTTTCATTTATTCCTGCTCATTTCCCAGGTTCCATGAATTCACATATGGACAACTGAGGTAGCTAGCTGATTGCCCTACTTTCTCAGGAAAAGTGAGAAGTCCTCCCCTGTTTTCCCTCCTGCTCATTCTTCCTTCAGGTCAATCACTTCCTCACTTACCTCAGGGCTTTGGTTTCCATTGCTGGGCAAACCATCATAATTTAAAGCCATCCTCACTAGGTTAGCAAGGCTCATCTGCAAAGATGCTCTTCTTTCTCTTCAGCAGGTGGATCCTCTCTTTTTTTAGCAATCCTTCTCCTTGGAACAACATCCCATGGTCAAATAAGCTAAAGCCCTACTGGCAACACCATCTGTGCAACTATGCATTGATCTGCAGGTTGCATCTGCTCCTGCCCGGGCCTTTCCCCTTGACCAGAAGGATAGAAGAGAACATCCATCTGTAATAAGCACTAACAGCCTCTCCAGTCTGGATCCGAGTGTGTTATAAAAGGGGTATATCAATTTTAACAGAAAATATTAGCAAGCAAACGTCTAAAAAAAAAAAAAAAAAAAAAAAAAAGTCCTAGAAACATTGACTTAAAGAAAAAAAGTCACCTGGATCTAAGAATAAGAGCTAACAATAACACTATGCAAGGACAGTATCAAGTTATAATCAGTTAAACCAGGGACCAGCAACATGGAGCCTTGTTGCATGGGTCACCTGGCATACCATGTATTAAATCTCTGCAGTATTAATTAGATCATGATTATCACAATTTAAGGGCCATGCCACACATTAAGCATGTCCTAAATCCACTTTAAAATACCAGCAACTGTACGTTCAAGTGGTAAAAGATGTGCTAACTGCACTCTCATTGTAGCAAAGTTACAATTTTTCATGTGAAGAGCATCGCCAGATTGTATTAAGTAACACATGTTCGGCTATTATTGGACTGCTCCACCGAGATAACATGAGCAATTTATAGTCCTCACCCAGTCGAGACATCAACCAGGGACCCCCTCTGCTGTACCAAGTGTCCACATCTAATTTGGAAGGCCTGAGAGGGTAGTAATTTAAAGGGGCTGAATTAAAGCAGCAATTTAAAACCTCTTGCTCTGTGCCTTTGTTGCCAGATCTGCTGTTCTCCACTGGCATTTGCCATGGCTTTTGGCAGCACATGGTAAACAAAGAAGGACATGGAGCACGGATGGAATCTGTCACCTGGTGCCTTAAGAAGTTGCTGGCCCCTGTACTAGACCAAAGAACTCTATTTCCAACTTCCCTTTTCTGCCGAAGGACTCTTTGGAAGCAGGGATTTGGTTAGAGTGATTTTAGCAATTTAAAACTCGATACACCCTTTTTCAAGCAGATGTCTGTCCCTACACACCCTCCTGTTGTGTCCTTAAAGCAAAGGATGAAGTTGTAGCCCAGGATTTCAGGTCACCATTTCTCTACCAAAGTAGTGAAGACATACTTCCCATTATAGCTGAAACTCAAAACCAAGATTTCTCTAACCATCTGTCACACTGCATTTTTGATCACTGCAACCTGAGCTATTGTTTCAGTTACCTCATCAATACTTAGCAGGTAGAAATGAGTAAAGGAAGCTCAGTGAACTAGCCATAGCCACCCCACTCCCAGCAGCAAGCATTCCATGAACCAATCACAGTTCAGTTCATAATTTGGGTTACCACTGCTCACATAAGAGAGCACTGCCTAGGCACTCAGGAGAGACTATTTCCATTCCCAGCTCTGCCAGTTGCTCAGGGACAACAGCGGACCAGTCACTTCATATCTGCTTTGGTTTCCCTAAGTGTAGAATAGCAATGATTTTGCTTCCTTCCCCTTATAAATACCATACAAGCCAGATACTTTATCAAATGTGTGTGGGGGTGGGGGGAGGGGGGCGGGGAAAAAGAGAAATAGCATAATCCAAAATTTAAGATCCCAGATTACATAAATGGTGGTGATAAATTTGAACTTACTTGCAAAATGGTTTTAAAAGATTTTTGAAGCTCATTTTAATAGTTTCTTTTTTGTAGCCTACTAGTAATTTTAGAGACCACAAATAAATTAGATGTGTATTTGTTTTCCCATATGATATGGTAAGCTCACTGTTTTATTTAAACATTATCTCAGTTCTATTAAAAATGTTAATGCAATAGCTTGCGATGGGTGCCAATTGACATTTTAATGCATTGGTTCTAGAGCCAATTTTAGAACATGTAAAAGCTTTAAAAAAGTCTCTGCAATAAAAGAAGTGAGAATGAGGTCAAAAGTCTTCATATAAAAGTAGTCATTCTTCAATGAAAACACACTGATCTTACTAGCTATTTCTTCCCATGAAGTTCAGATAACCAAAAACCAAAGAGAGAAACATTAAAGTTTAAACACATCCCCCACTCTACTTCTGGGTGCACGGGAACGAATCCAAACACCTCTTTTCTGGCATCTTTCCACAGTACCCATGCTCTGGAGGGCTAATAGGAGTCTGAGGTACAAAAGCCACTCCAAAGCCTCATCCAAAGATTACCTTAATCACATTTTGTCTAACTCCAGCACTAATGAAAAAGTGTATTAAATTGTTCGCTTCAAAAAACATATCTATTTGGAAATCCCAAATTCACCTGCAAGAAAACCATACCAATTTGGAAATACTGAATTGACCTGCAAGACCAGGGACTATGCACTTGAAAGATTCCCATCACTTTCCCCAAGAGAAAGTCTACACAGCCTGAAAGCTAAATCCAAGAAACCACACACAGTACTGCAGCACTAAGAGCTATGCTTCTATTTAACGACATACACATAGTTCTAAATTATGCTGTTTCCCTCTTTTAAACTTGGCTAGCTCACCTGTTAGGATACGAGAGAGACAGAGAGACAGACTAAAAATAAAACTGTGAATTAATTTATAGCCTTTTAACTGAGCTTCCTGTCACTTGCTATCCATAAAAAACAGAGAATCTTAGACTCCCAAACAGCTGTCTGGCTTAGGCTATGGAAAGATACTTTTAAACTGCTTTAAAAGTGGATGGGAATTACCACATGAAAATATAGCTATATAAATGAAAGCAAAACAGGGTTAAATGTTAACAGTGATTTTGTTACATGTATTACTATAAGAGACTCCAGAAGTAAAAGTTACATCTTAACAGCTCCTAGTCTTATTATTCTATAGGGATTTATTATATTTGTCTAAAGCCTTAGATATCCAGATTTCTTTACTGTAGACGCCTATTTGAGCAGATAAATTTCCCCCCCGAGATAATGAAACAATTAGCTGTTAAGAAATGCATCCCCCCCTGGAAACTAAAATGCACCCAACCTGGAGATCCTGGTTATTATGTGAGCACCTTTTCACAAGTGGAGCAAGAGGACTCAAGAAAACTGCCAGTGCTAGCAGAGCTTTCCACTTGGGGAAAGGCTTAAGAGAATGTGGCCTGGTTCAGGTGTATGGTACAATGACTATTTGCAGCCAAAAGGCAGGTAGAGTATATTTTCACTAGCATTTACAATAGTAAATTAATTGTTCAGGACACCAGAAAGTTTGATATTGTAGCCCAAATGTAGCTCTGCCCCTTAATAATTATTTACTCTCTCACTGTTTAGTTTAGCTTTACAATACACCTGACAAACTCTATCACCCAAAAATACACAGAAGATGTATCATCTATCTGGCTCTAGTTTGAAAAACAGCCCAGATTTTAGCTGGAATTTTCACAAATTTCTCATCTGATTTCTGCCACTAATATTTACCTTACTTGCTGCATCTAGGTAAGGGCCACATCCACTCCCACAAGTGGGTGGAAGCCCATAAGATCAGTCGTCTTCCAGACATAGGTGGATTCAAGATTTTGAAAAGTAAATTTTAAAAGCAAAATGATACCAAATGTTAACTGAGAATTTCCTCACTATTCATTAATTAAAAAACAGACATACATTACTGCAAAATGTTCTAGGGAGATGCTGAGCAGAGCACCATCCTTTACCACTAAACACGTCACTCCACTGCACTATATTTTCTAATCAACTCAAATTCCTTTTCACTAATGGTTTCATACCAAAGGTTTGAGGCAAGGAACAAAGAGTAAAGAACATACACCACAGTCAAGTTATGTCAAAGTCGTACTTTGTTTTATTCCCGCTTCCAAGTGGTTGATATTTGAGAAATACCAGTTTTTATAGGGTTAATGTTAAAAATAAGTAGTCTGAATTGGGTTTGGGACTATAAAATTGCAGCCGTAGATTGTTCCCTTAAAGCAAAGTCTGACTTCGTACTTTTTCATAGTTAAATAGCTTTGGAATAAAACTTTAAAATCCTAGGGCTCAAAAAACAAAAAAAAAAAAGACATGGAAAATATTTCTTGCAATAGTCCTTTTCTCTTGTCATTAGTAATCTGGTCTCTCCAAAACACAACCTGCAGGAGATAATCCCTGCAGAGAAATGAGATTTTGAAAGCAGCTATGGTAAAGTTTTCTGGGTAAAGCGCCATAATGTCCAGTCCAAGGGATTTTGTGAAGATGGAATTAATTTCTCGTATCTTGTTCCACAACCTTTGAAATACCATTACTTTTGTTCTCGAGAGATGTGACCTTTTTACTTGTCATAGTAGCAAACAGTGCATCCATCATTCCCAAAGTTTCTAGTAATTCCCCCTGATAATCAATCTCTTTTTCTATAACTTCTTGGAGTCTCATGAATTGTTTATCAACAACTGCAGATTGTCCAGCCACAGAGAGATAAATATCTGGAAGAAAGAAAGCCACTTAGAGTTTATGCATCTCTCTGTCAAAATCTTATTTGCTACATTTTTATAAGCATATTATGACATAATGCACACACACACACACTTTTTCTAAATAAGGATCCCAATACAAATCTTTCAACAGGAAGATGAGAATTCTTTATTAGCCTTCCAAAAGTTACACTAGTTATTGGTATTGTCTTGTAGTAGCTGGAGCTAATAAATCTAGAGAAGGTCAGGCTTTTACTTTGAGATATTCTCTACTACAAGAAGCTAGGGAAATCTTACACTGCAAGCGATACAAACTATACTTACGACACTAAGAGCCTGAAACAGGAGCTCTTTTTTTATATATAAAATTTTATAGTTTAAAATATAAAATATTTTAAGATGTTATATTATATATCATTTTATATCTTAACATAAAAATCAGGATTAATCAAAAGGAAGCACGCAATCTGGGCAAAGTCCTTTGGCAAAAAAATTGGCTTTAGTTTTTAGAAGTTGCATCTGATTTAAAAAAAAAAATAATTTGGCAGTTTAAGCAAAATGTTGAACCTTATCCATTAACATCCTGTTAAGCTTAATCCAATATGCAAGACTTGGTTTTGTACTGTACTTACCAATAATCATTTCTGCAACGTTTATCAGCACAGGAGCAAATCTTGGTTCAACCACATGCCTGCAAAATTAAAACAAAGTTAAAGCTTAAGATAATTTGGCATTTATCTCCTATGTTTCTCCAGGATCCATGAACAATTTCCAGTACTTTTATAGAACTTTCATAAAAGCTGTCTAGTTAAGCAACAATAGCCCTAAGGGTTTGTAAATCACCAGTGGGGAAGGCACTCGAACCTGGGAGATATTCTTTTAAATACAGTGTACTCCTTTAAGTGCCTGCAAACTGAAAAAAGACTATGCACTTACTTAAGCTAAATATACATAATGCTCATTAACAATAGGAACAGACTGCTAAACGTTTTACACCTCATTAAGACTTATTTCTTTGTGTAGATCATTTTATGCTTCACACTTAATTAATATTGATAAGACCTAGTCAGTTGAGGACTACTTTGGAAGTCTTGAACACTGAAGGCTCAGTTTCACCAGCAATGCAATTAGATAAGAGTACAATTAGATCACAAAATAGAGAGTGGGGCTGAAAACACTTTATTCACTTAACCAACATGCAGATAGCCAGAGTTTGTTACCACGTGAGCAACAGACAAATTGGCACATAGGCAAATTATAAGCATATCCAGCACACACATAAATGGAGTACCACGTACAGGAAGACCAAACAGGAGCTGTGTAAGACATGAAACAGACAGCACTTACTAGGAGTAAGGTGACAAGGGGAAAAAACAGAAGTATACACTCCTGCTGGTGCATCTCACTTCCTCTCAGACAAAGCAACAAGTCCATTCAACATGCACTTTATAAATTGAAGTACCCAAGCTTTTTGGGTCACAGGGCTTCCAAATACGATTCTTATGGACCTTCACACACCATATCCAACTTAACTGATAAACACTACGAAAGCGCTGAGACCTAAAATAATCCACAAATGCTTAATCACACACTTGCAGATGACAAGTGGTCCACAGACCACCAGTCCTGTAGTGACCTACTAACACATATAGGGAGAAATCTGTTCAGAATACCAGGTAATTAGATGGTAGGGTGAAATTCCACCCTCACTGAAGTCAGTGGCAAAAGTATTGTTCACTTCTGTGGAATGAGGGTTTTATCCCAACATATTCTGAAAGGTAAGCATGGCAGAAGCTGACAAAAAGAAACAGCTGCCTTACAACGTTTGTCACAGGCAGTCTGAGTAACAATACCTTGTCAAGAAGGTAAGGAGGGTACCAAGCTGCTTTTCATCTCGCCCTGCAAGTGCATTTTTCAGTGTTCCTCGGCGGCTTAGTTCCTGCATGACTGCAACCGTTATTTCAGGGGTGTATACTCTGATGGGGACCTATATAAACATGAGAAGAGTTTAGTGGTAGCAGACCACCTTCAAAATGCACGTCTGTTTAAAAATTATTTCCTCCCCTTCTACCCAAATATTAGGGAGATCCCATTTCAGATCATTTTACTGAATAGCAATGAACAAAATGGCAATGTCTTACCTCAAGTACCGCATCAAGAGCCTTGGACACCTGGAAGCTTTTCAGCAACTTATCGTATTTTTTCAAGTGATTTCTTACTGGTTTGCTGACAAAGAAATCCTCCTAGAACAGAAAAAAAAAAACAGTTCAGGACACAAGTAACAAATATTTAATGCCATTTTATAAGGTTTTTTGGGGCATTAACACTATTTTTCACTTTCTTTATGCTCTTCTTCAGATGTTGGAATGGTGTTTCCATGCACCTTAATCTGTTCTATAACCAACTTTAAGGGAAAAAGCGCACTTGAAACATTAATGATGATTATCTCAGTAGCTGTAATAACAGCTTCATTTTTTTAAATTAATGTTCTTCATACCAATAACTGGATATATTTTAAAACCTACTCCCCAGATTCTCCCTTACACACGCACAAAATTTCAGTTTTCAGTTACATGGCTATGCAAGATGTAACCAGCACGGACTCTCCCCCCTGTACCTGCTTTGGCATGTAGTTTCTTCCTTTTACAAAGGTCCTGTATGCTGGATGCCTTTTTTTAGGAATCCTTTCTTTGTTTTCTTCATGTTTTCGATGTCTAACATTTAGTACTCCATTGGTCATGCCTACAATAATGGTTTCATCTTCAGGCTAAAATGAAGTAGCAGCAAAATTAGTGAGCAAAGTGTTCTTCTTCTTAGTAAAGCTTTCCATAAACACAGGATTTTCAGTTCATAGTAATATTTCATACTAAAGAGCTCTGATAAAACCTGAAGGAATTAAAGTTGTCTGCATATATTAACTTTCTTCTGTTTGGGGATTTTGAACACTATTTTGAATATGATGCACAAATAGCTAGCACAATGTGTAATCAGCTCAGTTCGCACATAAAAAAGGATATATTTACTAGATGCAATGAAAAAGGCACAATGACGACCCGATATGAATAATACCCATTCAAAAGTGTATTAGCAAAGAAAGCCTGGACACAAACCACATTTACATAAGTGTAAACAAACACCAGGCTAATTTTGTTACTCTAGGCTAGCCATTTGCTCAATGCAATAGAGCTATTATGAACTTGCACACCACCTAGTGATGCAGTACCATAACAGCAGCCCCCCAGGAATCCCAATACAGGTTCCCTACCTCAGATAGCTGAATACCTCCTTTCAACAGCTGTTTTGTTTCCTACCATATATGCCATGTCAGAGGGCTTCCCAATAAGGAAGATACAAGTGTAGCCATCTTTACAAAGTGAAGTGCAGAATATAAAACCACTCCCTTTCTACATCAACTCCTCAGGCCAAACATGCTGCCATCACTCTTCCAGCCATGTGGCAGTAGATCAGACTGGCATAAAAGAGTTCAGGGGCTTAAAGCAGTTAAGCACTTAAAATCTTCATGTAATATAGCAGAACATGAATACTTCTAAGGGCTAGGCTCCTACAACCTTCCCTGCAAAGATGATGGTTACCAAAGTATCTGCAGGGATACAAGGCTGCAAAACAACTCCATGGGACCATTGTCATGCTCCAGCTGTTATTTCAAAGTGTGCCACTTTCCCAATCAGCTGCACAGAACAATTGATGCATTCCAGCTGACTGCAGAAGTGGCACCCTTTGAAGAGCTCTAACAGACAGCTGAGTGGTTTGTCCTTAATTTAGCAACCTGCTACAAACCACCTGGATGCAACTGTTCCAGGTTCAGCTATATTTGCATGTACACAATGCATGTACATAATACATCCTTTTGAAATTCACACAGCAATAAAAGCTAAAATAAACTACTTAGACCACCATTTTTAAAGTATACCCCTCTCCAGAATGCCTAAGAACAGTTTTAACATACTTACTGCCAATGCGAGACTGAGTATTGACGCTGCATAATCAAAGCTATGGACTACTTTGTAAGAAGTTGTACTGTAAATCTTTACATGCCTGTGGGGAGAAGAAAAAAACAAAACAAAAAACCCACACAACTCAGTTATTATTTGTTCCCATGCCTCAGTCCTGATATTTTACAAGAATAATACTTCCCACAAGTTTTATTAATTTTTTTTTGTTTTAAAAAGTGTTTTCTTCAGGTTTAATTCATTTCTTAATATCTCTAACTTACAGAAAGATTTCATATTTATAGCACACCATTAAAGAAGAGAAATGAGGATGGCACCTCAAATATATTTGTGGCTTAAATGAAAGCTTCGTTTCTGCAGAATCTGCCTGTCATTTAGAATTAAAAATGACAGCTTCCAGTCCTCATGGATGCAAAGGCCACAACACGAATGATCCTGCCACATCAGTTCTGAAGTATGGCCAGAACATTAACTTTTACTGCCATCCTGCCTGATAAAATGATTGGAAAAGGAATAACATGTTTCAAGAAAAGAATGCAACAAGAAAGGAGAAGGACAAAGAATAAAAACTGGAAGGAAGTCATAGCTACTTCTCACTATACCGATGCTTATAAGGAAAGCATGTTAAACCACTTCAGCAATAACCATGACAAGGCCATATTTTACTTTTACATTTTGTGCACACCTTTCCCATTGACACTGATGAACTTCCATTAAACTACTGAACAAAGTATAGGTCCCTACATCCACATGTTCACTTGGAGATGATAGCGAGATCATAGTGAACAGCCAACATCAGCCTCTTTACAGAACAGGTCTGACCCCAGCATCAGACCTTGGGACATACCTCATGCTCCTTTGTAAGCAAATACTTTATATTATTTAATCCAACTTTACTCACACAGCTACATAATGGACTCTACTTGTAGAAATTGCTTTGCAGCATCTGACACATGCAGTCTTACAAATTTAGAACTTAGGCCCCTAATATTGCCTGTAAGTGGGAGAGAATATTCTGTGAGAATTTCACCATCAGATAGCCTTTTTCAGAAGACGACCAAGAGAAATATTAATGGCATGAAAGACCTTCCTCAAAGAAAGGAAGACAAGCCAAGCAAAATAGGAGTGGAGGTAGCTGTGTGCTCAAGTGGCCAGCAGGAAACAGAATGAGCAAGTGGCACTACTGCAGGACACAGGGAGGGATGTGGAAGAGGCAGGGTCTGTATAGTTAAGAGTAAGAAATAAACACCTAACTGGTATTATAGGACAAAATTAGCATTTTGCTCTATACAAGCACCAATATTTCAGATGAGGGAAGTCAATTTCACTTGCATTCAATGCAATGAACAAAAAGAATCTGGAAACCAACAGACCACAGTTCCTTGTTCCTGTAAATTTACAGACCCCTGACTAGCAGTTTAGAAGTACTCGGAGGAGAAAGTACTAAGAGAAGACAGAATTCATAGATCACCAGAACTAAGGTGAACTGTGATGCAATGGCCAGGCAAGGCCAGACCAGCTACTTCTGAGGACAGCAAACTGGGGATAGGATGAATGCAAAGTGAAGAGGAGTTAGACAGGTTTTACATATGGTGCAAGGGAAGGTAACTAGCAGGAGGGGACTCTGGACTAAAGCAAAGAAAATGACTTGTTAGTAAGAAGATGTGCATTTTGCTATTGAACAAGGATCATACACAAGTTGGATAAAGGATTTAGGTTTGGAGAGTCAGGAACCTATAGTAATTGATGGTCACAGTTCTTTCCCCAGAATAATGCATGCAGGTCAGTGGCCAAGCACATATATACTTAAAATGGGGCCTACATGCCAGGACATGAAACAAGGAATTTCTTGCTGCTTTATTCTAATATTTTTCTAAGTCTACAACCTTGATGTAAGAAATGGCAATGAAATGTTTCCAAACTGAAAACAAACAGTTCAAGAAGATAAATCAAAGTGAAGCAATGAAAGATACTGACCTGTCTAAGGATCCTGAGAGTAATCTTTGTCCAGAGCTGCTCAGGCATAAGCAGGTTACAGTTTTGTGGTGATTTTTAAGTGAAACCAATAAGTAACCTCCTTTTAAAATATCCCAGACTTTAACATACCGGCCCCCTATAAATAGAACACAAAGTGTTGTATTGCCATGTATACACAATTAAACTCTTAGCAAAAATGTTTGAGAATTACACATAAAGATGCACATAAAAACAGACGTATCACAGCTTCCTTTAAAATGCCATGTTTTCTATTTCCATCCCCACCCCCTCTGATTGAAGTATTTCATGGCTGAATCAACAGAGGAGACAGAATGAGAACAAATGGCCTTAGAATTTTCAACAGGTCAGGAGAAGAGAAGAGAAGTCTCATCTAATAAGACATCCTGCAAAGGATGAACATCCTCTCATTCTTCCATGATCCGGCACTGGACCACTAAGAGTCAATTTCTAGTACTGAAGACTGTTATCTTCCTACTGCCCAGGTTCAACATCTTAGGACAGACAAGCTCATTCCAGATTTAGGGTGCTGACACACTTAAAAACTGAAACATTTCCAAGTGTCATTGACTGGGAACTGGCTCACAGTTGTCACAGGTCAGGTGTCCACACTTACAGTGCCCTAGCATTTCAGGTAGAACAGGAACCTTTCAGGTGTTGAAGTATGGTGCGGCATGTCTCAAGGACTGACCATAAGTGTCACATCATGTGTAGTGTCCACGCATAATACTGACCCAGTTCACAGTGAACCAGTTCAAAAAAAAGAGTACTTGATTTTTCCAAGTACATTTTCTGAACCATTCCAGGCAGCTTTAAACACTTTAAACAGGCTGGTACGTCTGCCTGTTTCAGTTTTAAATTTCACTGAAACTAGTCTAAGTGATGCATGTGTCCATACGCTGAGGTTGCTGCTGTAATGAGATGCGAGAGAAATCCAAGTACGGGGCAAGACAAGACAAGAGAAATCACTATATTGTTTCACCGCAGGGAAAGCGAAGTTTAAGCATTTCTCTCTCAATAGATGAGAAAATTCTGTTTGGCGGAGAGTTAGTGCAGAGAGGAAAGAGTTCAATTTGCTAAAGTACCTGCAGAGACTAGAAGACCCCCAGAGGGGAAGAGGAGCACACTCTCCACAGGGTGCCCATGCTCTATTGTCAAGGCACTCTTTTCTGTCCGTGCATCAAATACTTTTACAGTGTGATCATATGAACCTGAAAGAGACCCCCAAACAGTTTTAGTTGTATAATTTGAACGAATCTTAAAGTTAAAAATACATCCAAAATATGATCAGTCATGAACCAGTATCCAAAAAGAGCTATTTACTTAGGGGAAATAGTAGCAAATTACATCATTTAAATTCCAATATGTCAAATGTATTCCAACATGTCTCTGATGTATTGGAATCACTAGCTTTCACAGAAGAGAAGCTTCTGTTCTGGTCCCACTGGCAGTGTGAATCTTTAAAACCACGTCATTCAAATCACCTCTTTGCCTCCCCCATCCAAATTTAAAGGTGATTTTACAGGCAGAAATCACAGGAAGTATTAGAGACAGAAACCAGATTTATTACATCTAAAAAAAAAAAAAGTTCATATACCACCTTTCCCATGGCACAAAAAGTATTACCATAATCCTACTTAATGGATAACACCAGAAATAAAAAGTTCTATTTAAGAAGTGTCATATGATTAATATGACACTTCTTAAATTAACAGTTGGTCCTAAGAACATCTTAAGCTATATTTGTTTGTTCATTCTTAACGACAAGGCTTTATTTTAAGCCACACAAACAAAAAAGATCTGTTAAATGGTCCACTCTTTTCTTAAAGCAAATGATTTTAGGACATCACAACAACTAGCCAAGAGGAAGCCATACTTGAAAGATTCAAGAAAATCTAGTGAACATTTTAAGCAGTCCCATTGCCCTTAAATGATGTTCTCTGATAAAAAAGGCAGTAATAGAACAAAAATAAGCATAAGCAGCAAGCCCACTATTTAACTGTATGAGTCATATTCAAACATGAAAGGCAGCAGAACAAACTTAAGTCCTTCATCTCCAGACACAGAGCCCAGATTAGTGGGACTAACCCCTCTAGATAAAGGATCCAGACTTATTCAAGACAAACAAATATTTTAAAAAAGAAAACAAACCTGTGACAAAGAGATCTGCATTCAGTTTACTTGTACAGCCACATCTCACATAGTCCGTATGCTCGCTGTATGACACAATTTCTGATGAGCTTGGAATATCCCATAACTTTGAAGTATAATCATCAGCACCAGAAAATATACGGTATTTATCAGACAGAAAGTCTACTACATGTGCTGCTCTGGAAACCAAAAGACACAATATCTAAAGTTACTAGTTTCAAGTAGCTTCAAACTTTGAGCACAGACTTTACTGCAAGAAACCGTAACTTTTTAATCTGAAGTTGGCAGGCAACAAGCAGGATGAGGAAGTACCTATTCTAGGAAATTATCGTGCCATGCAAGTCTAACTCATTCAATTCAAAATACAGAATACCAAAGTTGGAAAACATAATTTGGTTTCCTAGTACAAGCACAGATGCAATCCCTACTAACTGCAATTCTATTTTGCACATGAACAAGCACAAGATTCCTCCCAACTGTAAGAACTTCTCTTATTGTTTATGCTTGCTTGAAGGGGTGCATGTATGCAAGAGTGCTTATGCCAGTTAAATGCGGTGTGCCAAAACTAACTGCATGTAAAATTGGGATGGAAATTGATTTCCCATCCTATGAAACCTGGATATTTCAAAAGCACTACTGTTTTATGTTGGGACAAAAGCTAGAGGGACAGAAACATAGAATTCAGAACAACCAACCAATCAGTACACAGGATACTCCTCTGGAATGCAGAAGGCCCAAGTTCCCATATCCCAGGTAAGTGCTCTAGCTACAGGCTATTAACTAGGATCAGTCCTCTGTTTGGTTTGAATCAGAGATTCCTTCTTCAACATGAACACCCTTTTCCAACAAATATTGGTGAAGCCAGGAAGCTTCTGCAAGAAGTATCAGTTTCAAATGTGCATCTGCCAATAAAAATATTTAAGGGTGCACAGATAGAGATTTGGGGGGACCAATATGAAGAGCCAATTTTTAAGGAGGCAGATCAGCTGATATCAATCCAATTTCTAATACACCTGTGATCAGCTGGTAAGTCTGTTGTGGTGGAAGGGGAGGGAAGGGAAGGGAAGTTGGGGGTGGGGGGACAGATTAATGCCCCCCACAGTGAGGGAGGGAGGGAGGGAGCGAGCAGGGGCAGGCACTGCCCAGCCAGGGTGGAGCAGGGCAAGGGACTAAGCCGCGGCTTGTCAGGAGAGGGTGGGAGAGGGTGGGAAGGCTCCTGTTCTTATGCACACCCCTTGGGGAGGGGCGTTTGCCCCTGGATCTGTGTGGGGCAGGCTGCAGCTGGGGCTGCGCTGGGCTCTTCTCGGTGGGAGCTGGGCTTAGGGCAGGCAGCCGTGGTACTGGGAGGGAGCTACAGTGGGGGCTGTAGCCACCCCAAATTTCGCCATAGCCTCTCCATAGCTCTGTCTCAATGCAACCCTGGCTCTTCCTGGCAGATGGGTGGAGGCAGGGCATTGAGCCAGGGCTGGGCTCGAGGCAGGTGGTGGTGGCACTGGAAGGGGGCTATGGGGAGGCTACAGTGAAATTTGGGGTGGCTGCAGCCCCCTCCATAGCCCCCCTCCCAGCACTGCCGCCACCGACCCCGAGTACAGCTGCAGCCCACCCAGCCTGCCCCACACAGATCCAGGGGATGCCTCTTCCCCCACACCAGAATTACCAGCTCTCCAAGTTGGCAGGCTGTACTCCTCCTTGCCTGCACGCTGTGTTGCAGCTACATGCGTGCACGGGCACTTACTGGCCAAATTATTGGCTGCATTGGGCTGATTTCTGATACAACCAATTTTCTTTACATCAGTACCCATCCAATATCAGACCAATGTATCGGTTCACAGCTAAAAATATATATTTTTAAATTCCTGACTAACTGTAATTGCATATTTAAGTTTATAAACAACTTTGAGGATTTATGTCTAGAAAGGGTCAGTACAAAGGTCCATTTTATTTATTTATTTTTTAGAGTCAGGTTGGCTGTGAAAAAAAAGATGAAGGCAAACTTGTGCTAGCTCTGTTCATTGCAGTGTACAAGGAGTTTCCCAGATGAAAAAACATCCATCTCTATAAGCTGAACCTTAGGCTTCTGGCCTCTAGAATTAAAATCCACATTTTTGTAACATTTGCTCTTTCCATTTGTTAATCTGCATGTTAGCTTTACGATCCTTTTGCTGCTTTGGCATTATAATCCGGTTTTAGAACGTTATTTTTTTTATTTACATTAAGTAAACTGTACTAGTTATTGTGAGGATATCATCATGAAAATGGAAGCTAGTTTTGCTGTCTGAAGAGGACAGGCTGCAACCATCAATTCTCCTGAGGACTCATTTTTGAAGACTACAAGTCTTGAGATATTCCTACATACCAAACATCCCAGGTGCTAGTCTCTTATTTGTGACCATGGTTTTGCTGGATAAAATTTTCTGATCATTACATTTTTGTTTTAATTAGACAATTCCTCTAGTGTCCAACAGTGAGACCATCTGTTTTGAAAGAACCTTATCCTTAACACCACCAAACCATTTCTTTCACTATTTTCTAGTATCACTAAACCATCAGTTTTCACATTTATTTTTATGTGTGGCGCTTGCACACCCTTGCAACTTCTGTATGGCTTCAGAGTTTGACAAAGCTCCTTTGCTAAAGACCAAATGCAGTTTTCTCCATAATAAAACAGATATAGTAACACACAGATATACCAACATACAGAAATAAAATCGCGTGGCTTACTTTGTGTGACCATCAAACTGTCTCAGTGCTGCTCTTCCACCGATATCAAAAAGTCGAACATTACCTTCTTCACTGCCAGCAACAAGCAGCTTGCCATCATCTCTATAAGTAGCACAGTAAGCAGCGTCTTTGAAGCGAGAGAATGTTTTGATTGGCTCCTGAGAATATCGACCATAAATATGGATCTAAAAAGAGAATGATTTTTAGATAAATAAATTCTTAAAGATCATCAGTGAATAGCAATATACAATCTATTATGCAAACTTACCCTTGAAGAGGCTGTGACAGCATAGTTATGTGGAGGAACTGGAGAGAAGTCAATTTTATTCACTGCACCAAATTCCTTTATCTGAACTGGAGTCTGAAGAAATTAGAATGAAATTAGAATATCTTTTGGATAAATAAAGTATGTTGTTAGCAGCAGGCTTACAAAGAAGTGAAAGCTGGACATAAGAAAAGTAAAATATATGTAATAGCAATCACAGGAATTTAAAAAAAAAAATCGAATGGATAAAAACAACAATGGATTGTTAAAAAACACCATCAACTTAAGTTTTTTTCCCCACATTTACTTCTAATTTTCTTTTTTGCTTTAATTTAAATATTGTTGTTTCTAATTTTAGGCTTTAGCATGAATTTATATTAATAGAGAGATATGCAGGAATG